CGTGACAGTCACGTAATTTAACAGACTTCCAGGTTTCTAACAAGTAATACTCACTTCACTTCTAATTTCAGATGAATGATATGCAAACAGACACCAATGTCTATAAATTTCCTGACAGAGCAGAAAGATACAAGCAAGTAAATCTAGTTATTTTTCTCATTTTGCCCTGCAACTCCCTCAGAATGCCAGGCGAAGAGGCTTGCCTTTGCTGCCAGTTATTCCATCAGATTTAGAAAAGCACTGCACAACCTGTGCTGTAATACAGCTTCACTGAATAATTTATGTTTTTGGAATGATCTTATTTGTTGCAGGCATCTGCTGCAGAAGCCTTCCTTACTTAAGATAATGCCAATTCTTGTACTCTATGTTATATTTTTCTACCTAACAAAATCCTAGTCCATTACATTTATTTGTTTACTTAATAAAGAACTGTTTTATTCAGTAAAATCTTTTCAAAAGTGGTATACTTGCACAGTTAGACTTTCCCCTTAAATACAGACATTTAAACAGATATTTTTGCTTCAGTGTATGAGGCAAAATCTTGAGCGTAAAGGAAATTATTTATAGTAGCCTGAGTGAGATGTTTAAGGAAGATGATTCTTTGTGTAACAGGAAAATTACTTCACACTAAGTCTGAGAGTAGAACAAAAACTTGCAGTGCTGTCCCAGATTCTTTTGCTGACACTTCGCAAAAGCCATGTAAAGAGTGGTGTTTGGTTTTGGGAATCTTTAATAACAATCCTGTAGATGGGGATGAAATCACTACAGTCTGAAATAATTTTCTGCGTCCTTCATTCACAAGTTAAACAAGAGCCTCTGCTCTTTCAGCTTCTGCAGTTTAATTGGGAACTCCCTTTTCAACTCTCCCAAGTTTACCTTTCTCCTATTCCACTCACCTCTCTCATGTTTGTTTTCCTTATAATTCTGGTCATCTGCAATCCTCATGTCAGCCAAACCTCTTGTGATTTTTTTTTCTTCCTGTAGCTGCATCTTGCTTTCTTCCTGCTTTTATTCAGTAGAAGAGCTATTTCATATGTACCTTACTGAAAAAGAACAAAAAATATGGAAAGCAATTCATTTTGTGAGACACTTTGAATGAAGCAATAGCCACTTTTTAGTCTGTCTTGATTGAAATCAATAACCATTTCATCAGACTAACTAATATGCTTGGAAATAAAGGGAAGATTAATAGCTGTGATTTAGTAGCATCCTGCCCCTGCACTGTCAGACACTGTCCTTTGGAAGATTTCCCCAGTAACTTTCTGACATGGAACTGCCCACTTGCACGACTCAGTATGCATTCACACAGAATGTGATCCCAGCCTAGTTCAAGTAAATACACACTCTAGCTTTGAGACAAAATTCTGTACGTTTCTTCCAGAGGAAAGATTTAGGATCTTCAGAGACTAATTATAATAGCTATTGAGTGATTATTAGAGATAAGGTTTCAGAGAAAATCAAGTTATGTATATCTCCATGTGTAACAGCCAGCAGATTGGCTTCCCCTTGTTCTGCCTCTCAGGATATTCAGTAATGTCTGCAGCTGTGAGAACTACTACAGGGTCTTCTGGAATAAAAGCTGTTCTCCTACTGATCTCAATAGTCCTATAAAAATAGCACAGACACCATGCAGATTTCAGTCTTCATCTTCCATCTATTGTTACTGCCTCACCTGATGTCGCTGTGTGGAAAAATACTTCTCACAATACTCCTATATCACAGAAAAACAATGGTGTTAATATTCTTAAAAGTATTCTTAACAGTCATTAAGTCAGTATATTTAAGTGTTTTTCAAAGTTAAGTATTTCTTTTTCTTCCTTTTTTTTTTTTTTTCTTTCCCCTAGAATCAAATAAAATATGCAAATAAGATGTAACCAGTATCTGTAAGGACAAGGTGATTGATCATAAAAGGTAACAGAAGGAAATTTCCCTTGGTCAGTTGCCAGTTGCACAGAAGAATTAATTTGTAACCCCATGCCCTTCCCACGTTAGGGCTTCTTCCTTCTCTGCATCATTCTCCTTCCTCTCCCCACCAAGAAAGAAAGCAAAAGTGTTCCTGGATTCTTCATAATTCTTCTTCTTAGGAACTAATTTAATTCAACTCTTGTCTAATTTTTCAGTTACATTTCTTATATGATTCCTACTATGTAAAGATTAAAAAGGGGTACACTAATCAGTGAGTATTCAGTAGATAAGCACTACCCTAAAAACATTCTCTTTTGTTTTCTCTTCACTTGCTGTACTGTTGCTCAGCTGTTTCTCTGTATGACTCCTGCTGGCACATTCCTCCTGCTAGTGCAGCCACCTGAGTTCTCACAGGGATCCATAATGTTCCAAACGTAACTTTTATTTTTAATGTTTTTAATTTAAAAAAATATTTTTAATAAAAAGAAATTGTACTTTGAGGATACTAATGGGTTAACACTGGGGATCAATAACAAGACCGACAAGCAATAAAGCATGAGTCAGACCAGACTCAGACTGACACCATGACCATTTTCTTGGATCTTACTGGCATATATTTTCTGCCTGAATCTCAGAGGATATGAGCACAGCCCAGAAAGCACTATCATGAGTGTAACTGCCTGATGAACTTCAGAAAAAGCCAAGACCTGGAAAGGCGTAAGAATATAGCTGAGTAATGGGCATCAGCATGTGGGTTTCGTTAGTCAAAAATTAAATACAAAAAATAGTGCTATAACTGTGATGATTTCAGTGTGCAAAGCAATTTATTTTATTTTCAATGTGCTCAGTCTGTGAAGCTAGGAAATATAGATAACATTTGGGATACGCATAAAAATATTTCATCAAGGGCTTATGCTGCCTGAAGACTTTGTCTAATTAAATTACTGCTCAGCTCATATCTACCCAATAGAACTAATTATAAGGTTTTATATATTTTGCCTGAAAGACAAAGCAAACATTACTTTTCAGAACGTTACAGTGTAGAGATAAAATGTTCATTGAAAATGTTGGCTTTCTGACCAAGTAATACTCTTCAAAATCATTTACTTGATTTGAGCCCTTTTATAAAAACTAGTCTGTTCTGAAATTCAAACAAACAAACAAACAAACAAAAAACAACAAACACAACAAAACCATTTTCTGTCAAATTGGATTGGGCAGGGTGGTTAGCTGGAAATGTTTTCCTTCAAAGTGGTTTAAAGCAGCGTAATGCTGTGAAGTTGCTACGTAAATTAAATGAAGCCATAGAGTGGGCACATTCTGTAGAGGTCGAGTACTAGGTTTTTATAATAGTGAATGGAGACACACCAGTTGACACCAGTTGACACACCGGTGTTTTAGCTTTAAAAGCCTACATTCAAAAGTAACCAGTATGATGAATGAGGAAGGGTTTGCTGATATCCCTAGTGACACATGTACAGCTTGTCCAGAACATGAAAATCACCTGACAGTTCAAGATAGCTTTGTGTGATTAATACTCTCCTTTGAGAAAGTTTTGAATAGAAAGCTAGTTTTTCAGGGGCTCCAAAGGCCTGACAACAGAAAACTGTAATTTAGAGTATAGTAATTACATGGAATACAAGAAATGCAGCATTTTCAGGTGGAGTCTTTTGCCACTTTTTTTACAAAATGAAGTGAAATTCCTCTTGTAAAACAAAACCAGACAAATAGATATTACATGTATGCCAATTCTTAAATGCTAGTCCTTGACAGCACCAGATCTGTTGCTACATTTAAATATTTAATTTTTAAATGTCATTTAGACATTCAGGTTTCCAAGAAGCGTCCTTTAGCTCTGGGCATTACAAGTAGCCAGCCATTCCTAATACTCTGAATAGGAAATGGATGATCACAAAGGCTTTTAGAACAGTTTAATGTCTCTTCCATTCATTTTTGATGTTTTGCATAGAATAGATAGAATCAATTTGAGATTTGACTAAATTGCTTGATTTCTAGCCAACACCTTGGCAACATTTCTATTCAGCTCAGGGGAAAGTAGCACACATTCAGTGCACAAGTGGTGAATTATATATTGTTGAATGAATTGATCTTGAGTATTTTTGGAGAAGAAACACCATCAGTAGCAGATAGTACTGCATAATTTTAGGTTACTGTCACCCAAGCTTCTTTTGACAGGAAAGAAAATATACTCAGCATTTGCCTATAATGATTTTTTATTGCTACAATAATACCTAATATGTTCCAGATACATTCAGGACAATTTGTTCATTTCACTCAGTGATCAAAATGTGTTTTGACTAGTAAGTCTCTGTTTATTTTGTTCAGTAATCTTTTTTCTTAATGGGAGTGTTTTCCAGATGTTCTGTTAGTCTAGTCATCTGGGATCTCTTCCAATACATGTGGAAAGTCTGCTGTCATAGGCTGTCATTGGCAGTTATGTTTAACAAGCAGACTAATCAGTTCACCCTAGCGTAGTTATAAAGTGATATATAAGGCATCTGAAGCATCCCTCAGAGCAGGCACATTCTTCGTTAGGTAAGTGTAATTCCCTTCTCTACTCAGAGCATTCTGATGCAAAGAAAATGATGGGCTGCAGCAGAAAGAACAGACTTTTTCCTTTTTGAGAGAGATTTACTTTTGTCATTTCATTTGTCATGCTTAAGCACTAATATTTTGATGACGGATTATGTTTATAAAAATATGCTGATTAATCACTCTTTTGGCAGTATTGATTTTGGTTCTAGATTTACCTTTATCAGTATTGTAGTCTTAGAGACTGGTGTACCAAACTCCACCCATTTCAAACGAGGAGACTGACTTCAGATCCCATTTGTTAATAATGAATATTCCTAGTCTTACTGAAAAATTTAGCAGCTAATCAGCTACTATGAGAGGGTTTAAGGAGTAATTATAAATTACCAACTTCTCCTGGAGTAATTTTAATGTGAGCTGTATGTTGCAATGAAACTCGTGTTCTGTATAAAGATATGCATTTCAAGTTTAACAAATTGATTATTAAAAAATACAAGAATTGCATGTAATTATGTGAAATGATTTCTTTTTAGGGATGATGTCGTACCTGAAAGTAATGATCATATGGAACATAGTTTACATACCCCTGGTGATCCTTTCACTGTCCCTGATTCAAGGAGTGGCTTCTCAAGGTACTGTAACATCCGGTTGAAGGGAGGCTGCCAAGGAGATCTGAAAAATGATAAGAAAGCTTCAAAATGAAGCTTTGAATTTATCTTCATAAAAATACTAAGCTGTAAAACATTTTTTTTTTCACACGCAGTCATTATGATTCAGTTTTATCTTCACTGAATAATTTCATAAATTAATTTTGGTAGACCACAGTCCTATGTTTTTGAGAAATAGCATATGTATGAATATTAGGCAAGATTCATATGAATTTACGTCTCTTCCTGCAGACATATTCTACTGATCCTGTTGTCCTTCTGCTGATATATTTAGCAGAAATGATTGGCCATATACTTCAAGGAAGAATTTAGAATTATAATATCCATAAAATTGAGATAGAAATACCTAAACAGGATGGGATGGGGAAAGGAATGTGCACGTGGGACTAAGTCCTTTGCTTGTAAATGCACAGGCTGATTTTGGCAATTGCATGTACAATACTGCAGATCGTAATTTACTCTCAAAGCTCTGCAGTTGCCTTCTAACTGAACAGCCCCATAAAGAAGGAATGGAAGGACCAATAGCCTGGCAAGCCCCCTGCTGTGCTTCTTCTCAAGGGGCTCTGAAGTGGTTACACTGATAACACAGTGTATCACTGGCTTGTGAAACACATTTTACTGCGCAGGTGAGCAGCTCACCAGGGCTCAGCAGATGTCAGGCAGTACCCGCAGGGCAGCAATGTCTGGCTCTGCTCCCCCTGAGGTCGTTGGGTGCCTTCATACTATTTCCACCAAAAATCAGATTCTTGCCAAGAGCAGCTGTAAGCATTGAGATGTTTTCCATCCTTCACTACTGAATTGCTGAAAAATCTCAATGCAGGTTCACAGGTTCAATCTTTTGTTATGCTATGTTCTACCTCCACATGCACAGTGTGTGTACAGGTAGAAATGGTTGTCTTTGATGTTGTGTTGTGTTACATGTTATTCCTTGTTGTTTCTTTGTTGTTCCTCGATGTTTCAGCTGATTACCCAAAGTCTGTTGTAGCTCGCTGATTGTTCAGCTTTTTGTTTGTATTTAGGGACACTCCACTTGTGGTCCTACATTTCCAGAAGAAGTGATAAAGCATCACATTAGTGGGAGATTCAGGTAGGAGGGGGAGTAAGCCCAGGTGAATATCTGATACTTTGGAAGCAGATATCTGCTGTCTTGCTTGCCACCTGTGGCCTGCACCACATATTTATTATCTGGCATTTTGCAGCACTGCAGCAGTCAAGCCGTATTGCCAGTGTGAAATAAGCACCTAGGTTATTCTGCTAGTAGCAACCTTCTCATTAGTAAACAGGAGCACTTTGTAGAATGCTGCAGGACCAGATCTCAACTTCTCCTAGCCTCAGGATGAGCACCAAATTCTTCTCTGACTTTGGAGGAAAAAAAAGCAAAAAACAACCATGTGAAGGGCAGGCTTAAAAATGGCTCTGGGGACCTATATTTATAAGGGCAGTGCTCACTATTTAAAACTTGAGCTGATTTTATTACAAAGAACATTACCAAAGTAAAAATCAGGCAGGCCTAACATATCTGTCAGGTACACTGGTGCAGGTACACTTCTGTGGCCATGCTTAGACTGTATTAAGTTAGAAAATGAAACGACATAGTGCCTGATACATTGCCTCAGATAAATTGGAACAAGTCTGAATGCCATAACCAGTGCAGCCGTGTCACCGAACTGGTCCTCAGGATCCTCTGATCTTTAGGAGAAACAGGACAAACCAGACAGAGCCCATCTCTGCTACCTGCTCTCTGGCCAGCCCAGGGATCAGCTCTGATCTGCAGGACTTCCAAACGGGCTGCACTGGCTCACAGCTTCCATTGCTCTGAATAAAGAAATGGCATTCTTCAGGGAAACTTAAATCTTCCTGCTTTGCCATTCAGTTTCCTCACATACCACTTCAGTTTGGCAATGTTTACATGTGTCGTGTGATTTTAGATTTATGGAGCTGTACAGGGAGATGTGGGGAAAGGTATTCTAGAGAGCATGTCTGCCACTGTGATTATAGCTGCCAACACTACAAGGAGTGCTGCCCTGACTTCAACAAAGTCTGCACAGGGGGTAAGTTCCCAAACATAGCCAGCTCCTATCAGCAAAGGCTTCTCCTGCTTGCACCAGCCTATATCCTCTGAATGCTTAGACTCTTTTTTTCAGTTTGCTCATCCTTGTGCTCCTCTCATCTATGTATAATGCTCCCCCTCAAAAGCTTGGTGATAACCTCTCACAGCCAATTCAATGAAAATTTTGCATCTGCAGGTCGTCACCAAGAAAAGGAGTTTGCTTTTTGGAAGAACAGAGCAAGAGAGGGATTTTCCCTATTGCTTGTTATCTCCTCCTTTGTGCACTTGTACTGTATTTGTTTGTCTGTAATATTTAACAACAACAACAAGAAAAATTAAAAATAAGTTCAGGTAAGAAGGAAAGTTTCAGGATCTTCCAGAGAAAATTTTTTAGGGAGTCCCACCCAAATTTAAGAGGAATGGAGTCTGTGAGGAGTCAGAGGAAGTCCTGACAGAAACTGAGTGGATCAGAACTGTGGCTGGAGTGTGATGGATAAGATGAATGGACATGTATTAGTATGTGTGAAATTTATGACTGTATGGCATAAAAAAATACAGATACTTCAAACTTGTTCTTCTGGAGAAGTTCTCAAATTATTTTCATATGCATTACCCATATGTCAAAAAATAGCAGGGTTTTAGATAAGCATAGCTGCACTACAGCATAATTCCAGTAAGACTAAAGGTGTGAGACCAAGATTCAAGGTCTTAGATTTAGCAGTACAGGTTAACAATTTTAATGCAGAAAAAGCATTACCTAAAATGATAATTCTTTAAAAAATAAAAACCATTTTTGCTCAGGCACGTGGAATTAATCCACTGCATCAGCAGAGCACTCCCCTGCTGGTCTAAAGCTGTTCCGATCCTGCCTATGCAGTAATCATAACTTTGCTAGATAATTACTTAATTGTAAAATACAACTCTATGCAACAGATCATATGATAATTTTGGAAATACCAAGTAATGGTTAATTCTTAGCTCCATTCTATGAGATGCTAAGCATCCTAAACAAACAAAAAAAAAACCCACCCCCCAAAATATCCACTTTAGGTCTAAAGTATTCCAGTGCAGTACACCAACAACTAAGATGCAGTACTTGCACACTGACAACTAGTGCAGTCAATCACAACATATGTAGGCCCTATTCCTTTTCAGAAATGCTTTGGTAGACACACCACTGTTGATGCAGAGAAGTGCCCCAGTGCAAATCCTTTTTGAAAATGTGGCTCAAAATTATTTTCTTACTGATTTTAACCATCATTCTTGAAACAACTTCTGTGTGATCAGGGAAACAGCACACGTCCAGAGAGGCTGTGGAGTCTCTTCCCTGCAGATCTCCAAAACCACCTTGATGTGGTCCAGCGTGCCCAGCTCTGGTGGCCCTGCTAGAGCAGGGGACGATGTGACCTTCAGAGGTCCCTGACAGCCTCAGCCGTCTCTGGTTCTGTCAAGTCTTCTGTGATGGGACCTATCTAAAGTGAGCTCCATGGTTATGTTTTAATTCTGCCACAGATCCCAAGCAAAGCACTGTTCTGGTTACGTGGCCTGATCCAAAATTCATTGCAATTAATCACACAATCAAATTCTGGGTCAGACCAGAATAATCACATAGGAAGCTGGTCAGCTTAAGTCACTGTAGAAAGGTCCCAGTGTCACAATATGAGCTGCACAAAAGTATTAACTCCATTGTTTGTTCTGCCTTATGTAACAGTCTCCTGCAAAGGACGTTGCTTTGAAGTCTATCAAAGAGGAAGAGAGTGCGACTGTGACATAGACTGTAAACGATATGGAAAATGCTGCCCAGACTACGAAGAACACTGTAAAGAATGTAAGAAATTTCTTAATCACAATGTTTTCCCAATATATATATAAATTTAGATACCTTGGGCAGCCATAAAATGTGGACCACACAGACTTTGTTCTGGTTATTATCCACCTTCTCAGGTGAATCTTACCATAAAATTAATCCAATCCTACTGTTGGCCAGTACACCTAAAGTATGGCTGTCCCAATCCCCAGGTGCACAGCAGTTTATACTGAAATAGATTCTGTTCTGAGCACTCCTGACTGAATGTGCAGAAGAAGATAAATGTCTTGAGGTGAATTTGCTGTCTTTGAGGCTGTTTAAAACCTGCTTTTCTCAGCTGTTGTGCCAGGATGCCACCTGATTTAAGTGATATTATCTACCATTTTGTCAGTGATTGCATTCCATCTTATTTTCCTTCTTGCTTTTTAATCCCTGTGATAAAACCCCTTCAGTTAGAGCAAGATTCCCCAAGGGTTACAGGTGTAACACTGGGACTGCGAGGGGTGTAGACAAAATGGAAACACCTCACTCAGAGCTGCTGGTTGAGCAGATCTCTCTGTGACTCAGAAAGAGATAGCAACTCTGCCTTTGAGAAAAGCATGGCCTGCTGGCTTGGTAGTGGCTCTGCCCCAGGCAGGAATGCACATGGGTCCCACAGGTCCCATCCAGCACCACACAGCAGCTTTCCACAGTGACAGCAGCCACTGCTACTTTGGTTTGCTGTTAATTTTTGTCAAACCAACAACAGATATCAACACAAAACCAAATGTTCCCAAATCCGCTCTGCTCTCTACCAACATTTAAATGATCTTGCTGTCTGTGAGTAACTAAGAAACCTGCTAAAGTCTTTGGAATGATGCTATACCTCATTGTAATTTATGTATTTGTAACCAAAAGAGATGTTTCTGCCTATAGCAGGGGATTGGAACTAGATGAACTTAAAGGTCTCTTCCAACACAAAGCATTCTATGATTCTATGATTAGACAAGTTCTCAGAGCATAGAACTCCACTTAGTATTCATATTCTTCTCACCTGAAAATTCCTTTTAGCTTGGAATGCCTCACCTCTCACCTCTGGGAAAAAGATTGCTCAGGTCTGTGATAAGCACTTAGGGATCCCCAGAGTATTTTTCTCTTTTCCATTTCTCTTTTTCCCAATAATGCCCTAAAAAATCCCACGGACAATAAATAATATATTTAAAAAAATGGATGTGGAGAAGTATCATTGAAGTTGTGTACCACAGTACCACCTGCTTACAACAAACATCTCAATGCGATCCCATTAACAAACTGTGTCGTTTCTTTCAGTACACACAGAAAAGCCAGTGCCCAAGACTCCTCCCCTAAATAAATCGACGTCCAAAAGGTCATCTACAGATGAGCAAAAGAAGCCAGAGGAAGGTAGGAAAGGATATGAATGAAAAAGGGTGGGTGTTATATGGAGGGACATTAGAGACTGTTTTTCTGCTCTGGAAATAGAAAAGTGATGTGAGACATTACCCACCTTGGAACCACTCAGAGTATAAATTAATTACCTCACCTACATTTCAAGAAAGACTCTACTGACTTTGCGGAGTTTGCTTAAGACATGTTGGGGTGTGGTGACATCCCCTGTGCCCTTATTTGATTTCCACACATATCTTCAATAAGATAACACACCACTGTCAGTTTTGGACAATATCCACTGCAGGAACAGACAGGGTGCTGTATTCTGGGACAGTGAAGATCTGGCAGAACCAGAACAGACAAACAGGTTTCTTAAGCTTTAACCAAGTCAGGCGTCCTGCAGCTTCAGAAAACACACATAACTTATTTTCTTCTGAATGGAAAACATGCCATGTTCCTGTGCTCTTTGATACTCTATTCCAGCATTATTAATGCTAACTTGGGAGATCCCTTTGAACTTGAAACCTTGAAGTTATAACAATGAAACAAGGCTTGTAAGTCAACACTGGCCAATAGCTTAGCCCTTAGTTTGTTTTTCAGTTTTGACTATTTACCTTTCTGTTGTGGAAATTTCCTGTTGCAAAGTCAATCTAGAAGGTTAAATGGAACAAAATTAAGGAAAAGTAGACAACAGGACCCCACATGACTGTTGGTATTTCAGATATATTGGGTAGGATGAAATCCTATTCTGTAATGCTCTGCTCACACTGCACTGTCTCTGTAGGGATTATTTCTCATACTGTAAAGTCCTCAGTGCTTCCAGCCTGCTGAGAGACTGTCAGCAGCAGCTCAGATCTCGAAATACCTTTTTTAGGGGATTTGTTCAAAACAATGAGGTCCAAAGTCACGTCATGCTGCTCCTGATATTTTCAGATTTTCAAGAACCAAGTGTTAATTTGGTTGTAATGTCTGTAATGGCAGACATTTTTTGTCAGTTTCTGCTGAATCTATCTATATTAATAATTTGACCCAGGTTTGTGTAGCTACCTATAAAAGTAGAGTCTTAAAGCTGCACGTCACAAAGAGGAAAAATACCAAAGACACAACACAGGAGATGTTACTAGGTATCTGTATTCAGAAAGTTCCTTTTCCTCCTGTTCCTGTAGCTCTCTCCACAAGGTCTAGGACACAGGTGCAGGCTTTATTAAGGAAAAGAGAATAAATCAAAGGAACTGATTGTGAAGTATCCTATTAAAAGAACTATATTTTATAATGTAGGTCCTCTTCCATGAAAAAAGATAGAAACGTTATATGGCTTCACATATAAACACAATTTTAAATCTTTCCTATTGAATTCAGAGTCACTATGGGTTAATCTATGGAAGTCCAATCTTTTGGCTTTCCTGGGCAGCACTGAATGAAGAGGAATTGTACAGGGCTGCATTTATGGAGGTTGCTCTGAAAATAATGCCTTCTGATCACTTCCTTGGAATCTATAATCAATACAGAGAGCATAACACTATTAAATAGAGCAAATTTTCAGCTACAAAATGCTCTTCAGCACTGTCACCACTGTTGGCTAAGAAGTTTCAGCGGTGATGAACAAGAAATGCATGCTATACATGTAAAAATCTGCACCAGTGGAAGTGACTCCCTGCTTAAATTCATCACCCACCCCTCACTGCACTCACATCCACTGATTGGTCTCCATAAATGTTCAGCAAGTGTCAATGAATGACAGTTTTTTTCTTCATGAAAAAATTCAGTTCCACCACTTGGCTTCATATGTACTTCAATATCAGATGTCGTTCTCTCAGATTACCCCTCTGCTGCCAATCTGTTGCATGGTAGCAAAATGTAATGGAATCTTGGTGAAAAGGTTCAACCTTTAATGCCACAACACCCACCTATGATGTCGTGGGAAAATAAAATAAAATAGGAAGCATTACTTTCAGAGCAGCCCTCATAAAGTATATAATATAGTTAATGTATATAAGTAACAAAGCTTATTTTATTTTTTAAATTATTTTCTTTTCACTAAAACATATAAAAAAGAGAAAAAAAAAGAAAAAAAAAGAAAAAAAAAAAAGCATAAAGCTAGTGGAATATGTGACCCGGTTTTTGTGAAACCAGTGGTTCAGCAACAGTGGTTACAATTCATATTGAGTTCTGGAAGTGCTCATCAGAGACTTTTGATAAAATGCTAATCTTCCTAAGCTTCATTCTTGAAAATAGTTGTTCACAAGTGTGTGTACAGCCAAAAAGTTATTATATGACTGAGGCACGATTGTGAAGCTAGAGGTATTTCTTTCTGGTAAGAGAATCACAGAATCACAGAATCACAGAATTGTAGGGGTTAGAAGGGACCTCCAGAGCTCATCTAGTCCAACCCCCTGCCAAAGCAGGTTCCCTACACCAGGTAGCACAGGTAGGCATCCAGGCAGGTCTTGAACATCTCCAGAGAAGGAGACTCCACCACCTCCCTGGGCAGCCTGTTCCAGTGCTCCGTCACCCTCACTGTAAAGAAGTCCCTTCGCACATTTGTGCAGAACTTCCTATGCTGCAGTTTCCGGCCATTTCCCCTTGTCCTGTCACCATTCACCACTGAAAACAGTCTGGCCTCGCCATTCGGCCCCCCACACCTTAGGTACTTATAGACCTGGATCAGGTCCCCTCTCAGTCTTCTTTTCTCAAGGCTGAACAGACCCAGCTCACTCAGCCTTTCTTCATAGGAGAGATGCTCCAGGCCCTTCACCATCTTCGTGGCCCTCTGCTGGACTCTTTCCAAGAGATCCCTGTCTTTTTTGTACTGGGGAGCCCAGAACTGGACGCAGTACTCCAGATGAGGCCTTACCAGGGCAGAGTAGAGGGGGAGGATCACCTCCCTCGATCTGCTGGCCACGCTCTTTTTAATGCATCCCAGGATGCCATTGGCCCTCTTGGCCACAAGGGCACACTGCTGGCTCATGGCCACCCCGTGGTCCACCAGGACACCCAGGTCCCTCTCCGCAGAGCTCCCCTTCAGCAGGTCATCCCCCAGCCTGTACTGGTGCATGCAATTATTCCTCCCCAGATGCAAGACTCTACACTTGCTTTTGTTAAACCTCATCCGTTTTTTTTCTGCCCAGCTCTCCAGCCTGTCCAGGTCTCGCTGAATGGCAGCACAGCCTTCAGGCGTGTCAGCCAATCCTCCCAACTTCGTATCATCAGCAAACTTGCTGAGGGTGAAAATCCATAAACTGATTCACCACAACTTGAATTAGCACTGCACTCTACCCTCCCTGTGCCTTGCATTCACCCCAGATGGGGTTCATAGTACACCGATGTTCAATTGGTGCTGAGTGATGGTTATGTGCACGGGGCTGGGCTGGGCTGTGCACAGCAGAGACATAATGGCATGGGGCAGCCACATGGTGAGCTGCGCTGGTGTCGGTGGGACATGCCTGGGTTAATCAATGCTACTAGTTAAAATCTAGCTGCTGCAAAGTCCCAGACATACAAAAAAAATTCACTGTACAGGTTAGTTCAGCTCTTTTAAAGAACGTATGTTTATGACTCTATGAATGTATCTTTTCACTTGTTGTAACAGGTATCTAACGTAGGTTTCAATGCACTTTTACAAACCGGCAAAAAACAATGGAGGTTTCAACAGCTGTAACACAAATTAAATACAGATTTACACAGAAAGCTTTTTCTTTTTTTCAGCAAAGGCTATGAAAACAATGTACTATTGCTATTCATAAGACAAGAAGCTATTTTCTATCAGTGTAGTAAAAAAAATAAAAAAATGTGCATGCATTGCAATTCCTATGCCATAAAATATGTTTTTCCTCTTACAGATACTGGCACTGTGACCAGTCCTCCCCCAACAACTCCCAAAGATGAAGAGACAACGGCTGAACTCACGGAATCACCAACAACACCCAAACCTGAAGACACAACCCCAGAAGCCACTGAGGCACCAACAACACCCGAAGAAGAAGAGACAACACCTGAAGCCACTGAGGCACCAACAACCCCCAGAGAAGAGACAACCCCTGAGGCCACTGAGGCACCAATAACACCCAAAGAGGAAGACACAACCCCTGAAGCTACTGAGGCACCAACAACACCCAAAGATGAAGAGACAACACCTGAAGCCACTGAGGCACCAACAACACCCAAAGATGAAGAGACAACCCCTGAAGTCACGGAAGCACCAACAACACCCAAACCTGAAGACACAACCCCTGAAGCCACTGAGGCACCAACAACACCCAAACTTGAAGACACAACGCCTGAAGCCACTGAGGCACCAACAACCCCCAAAGAAGAAAAGACAACACCTGAAGCCACAGAGGCACCAACAACATCTAAAGCTGAAGACACAACCCCTGAAGCCACTGAGGCACCAACTGCTCCGAAAGATGAAGAGACAACGCCCGAACTCACGGAAGCACCAACAACACCAAAAGCTGAAGACACAACACCTGAAGCCACTGAGGCACCAACAACCCCCAAAGAAGAAGAGACAACCCCTGACGCCACTGAGGCACCAACAACACCCAAAGAGAAAGAGACAACGCCTGAACTCATGGAAGCACCAACAACACCCAAAGATGAAGACACAACGCCCGAACTCATGGAAGCACCAACAACACCCAAAGATGAAGACACAACCCCAGAAGCCACTGAGGCACCAACAACCCCCAAAGAAGAAGAGACAACCCCTGAGGCCACTGAAGCACCAACAACACCCAAAGAGGAAGACACAACACCTGAAGCCACTGAGGCACCAACAACACCCAAACCTGAAGACACAACCCCAGAAGCCACTGAGGCACCAACAACACCCGAAGAAGAAGAGACAACACCTGAAGCCACTGAGGCACCAACAACCCCCAGAGAAGAGACAACCCCTGAGGCCACTGAGGCACCAATAACACCCAAAGAGGAAGACACAACCCCTGAAGCTACTGAGGCACCAACAACACCCAAAGATGAAGAGACAACACCTGAAGCCACTGAGGCACCAACAACACCCAAAGATGAAGAGACAACCCCTGAAGTCACGGAAGCACCAACAACACCCAAACCTGAAGACACAACCCCTGAAGCCACTGAGGCACCAACAACTCCAAAAGAAGAAGAGACAACACCTGAAGCCACTGAGGCAGCAACAACTCCAAAAGAAGAAGAGATAACATCTGAAGCCACTGAGGCACCAACTGCTCCAAAAGATGAAGACACAACCCCTGAAGCCACTGATGCACCAACAACACCAAACGAAGAAGAGACCACCCCTGAGGCCACTGATGCACCAACAACCACCAAAGAAGAAGACACAACCCCTGAAGCTACTGAGGCACCAACAACACCAAAAGATGAAGACACAACCCCTGACGCCACTGAGGCCCCAACAACTCCGAAAGATGAAGAGACAACGCCCGAACTTACGGAAGCACCAACAACTCCAAAAGATGAAGAGACAATGCCTGAAGCCACTGAGGCACCAACAACTCCAAAAGAAGAGACAACACCTGAAGCCACTGAGGCTCCAACTGCTCCAAAAGATGAAGAGACAACTCCTGAAGCCACAGAGGCACCAACAACACCCGAAGAAGAAGAGACAACACCGGAAGCCACTGAGGCACCAACAACACCCAAACCTGAAGAGACAACGCCTGAAGTCACTGAGGCACCAACAACACCCAAAGAAGAAGAGACAATGCCTGAAGCCACTGATGCTCAAACAACTCCAAAAGATGAAGCGACAACCCCTGAAGTCACGGAAGCACCACCAACACCCAAACCTGAAGAGACAACCCCTGATGCCACTGAGGCCCCAACAAATCCAAAAGATGAAGAGACCACGCCCGAACTCACGGAAGCACCAACAACACCAAAAGCTGAAGAAACAAACGCTGAGGTCACTGAGGCACCAACAACACCCAAAGATGAAGAGACAATACCTGAAGCCACTGAGGCCCCAACAACTCCAAAAGATGAAGAGACAACGCCCGAACTCACGGAAGCACCAACAACACCTAAACCTGAAGACACAACCCCAGAAGCCACTGAGGCACCAACAACACCTAAACCTGAAGACACAACCCCTGAAGCCACTGAGGATGCACCAACAACCCCCAAAGAAGAAGAGACAACCCCTGACGCCACTGAGGCACCAACAACACCCAAAGAGGAATACACAACATCTGAAGCCACTGAGGCACCAACAACCCCCAAAGATGAAAAGACAACACCTGAAGCCAATGAGACACCAAGATCCAAAGAAGAGACAACCCCTGAAGTCACAGAAGCACCAACAACACCAAAAGAAGAAGACACAACCCCTGAGGCCACTGAGGCACCAACAACTCCAAAAGATGAAGAGACAATACCTGAAGCCACTGAGGCCCCAACAACTCCAAAAGATGAAGAGACAACGCCCGAACTCATGGAAGCACCAACAACACCTAAACCTGAAGACACAACCCCAGAAGACACTGAGGCACCAACAACACCCAAACCTGAAGACACAACCCCTGAAGCCACTGAGGCACCAACAACACCCAAAGATGAAGAGACAATCCCTGAAGCCACTGAGGATGCACCAACAACCCCCAAAGAAGAAGACACAACCCCTGAAGCTACTGAGGCACCAACAACACCCAAAGAGGAAGACACAACATCTGAAGCCACTGAGGCACCAACATCCAAAGAAGAGATGACCCCTGAAGTCACAGAAGCACCAACAACCCCAAAAGATGAAGAGATGACCTCTGAAGTCACTGAGGCACCAACAACACCCAAGTCTGAGGACACAACCTTGGAAACCACTGAGGCACCAACAGTCCCCAAAGTCAAAGAGATGACCTCTGAAGCAATGGAGGTCACAACAACCCCCATAGTGGAAGAGACAACCCCTGAAGGCACTGAGGCACCAACAACCCCCAAAGTCACGGAGACAACCCTTGCAGCCACAGAGTTCCCAACAACCTCAAAAGCTGATGACACAACCCCTGATGCCCTTGAGGAACCAACAACCCCCAAAGCTGAAGACACAAACCCTGCAGCCACAGTGGCTGTGACTACTCCAAAAGCTGAAGAGACAACCCCTGCACGCACAGAAGCTCCAGCAACTATGAACGTCAAAGAGACAACCCCTGCAGCCACTGTGGCCTCAACGACTCCCAAGGCCAAAGAGGCAACCCCCAGAGCCAAAGAGACTACAACCCCTGAAGTTGCAGAGACAACCCCTGTTGCCACAAAGGTACTGACAACCTCCAAAACCAAGGAGTCAATCCCTGAGGCAACAGATCCTCCAACGACCCCTAAAATGAAAGGAACAACCCCTAAAGGCACAGAGAGACCAATAGCACCTAAATCTGAACAGAAAATCCCTGAAGCCACAGAAGCACCAACAACCCCTAAAGCTGAGGAGACAACCCCTAAAGCCACAGAAGCACCAACAACCAAGGTTGATTCTCCCACCACTCCCAAAGCCGAGGAGAAAACTGCTAGTGCCACAAAGGTGTCAACAATCCCCAAAGAGAAAGAAATAATGCCTAAGGTCACAGATGCTCCAATATCCCTGTCTGACTCTCCCACCACTCCTGAAGTTGAACTTTCTACACCTGCACCCACAAATGTTAAACAAGGCACAACTACTATATATAGCAAACTAGTAAGTATAACCGATAAAAGTGACAGAACAACAACTAAACCTATTATGACCCCGGTAACCATGGAGTCCTCAACTAAAAAAGGAACAACCACGGAGAAAAAGGAAGTAACAATACCCAAGAAAGACAAAACTACTGTGCTTAAAGACATGTTGAAAGGTAGAAGAACTACTGTAACTACTCTGGATGCAACCCCTGCACCCAGTCAAGCTGTTAGTACAACAGCTGAATTAGAAGCAACTACTACATACAAAAAGGCTGCAACAGCAGCTACGGAAGGAGAAGCAACCCCAGCTACACAAGACAAAACTCCCACACCAAAAGAGACTTTACCATCTACAGCTAAAAGAGAAGAACATGCTGTGGGAACCATAATTGTAACAACATCAGCAGCTACAAGCATTATACGCAAGCCCACTATGCTGCCAACAACTGCCAAAACAGATTCAACTCCCAAACCCAGGGAGATTGTGACAACAACTAAAAGAGACACAACTATGGAAACTACACCGGCTGTACCAGCAGTTGCTGAGTGCATCATTCCCTCTAAAGAGACAACAGCTGGTGAAAAAGAGTTGACCACCCTTGCGAAGGAAACTAGCTATACTACTGAAAAAGAAACAGAAGATGCCCCTGGAAAGTCCCCTACCCTTGACAAGAAAGAAGAAACTACAGTGATCAGAGGTAGAACAACAACAGATAAAAAAGACACAATAGAAGAAATGTTTCTTGTTCCTAGAGGGACATCCAAGCCAGCTATACGCTTCCAGGAGATTACTGACACACATGATGAGCCCTCTCCACCCAGCCCTAAAACCATGCCAGTAGAAGAGCCTGAGATAAACAAGCCTTTAATACAAACTGCAGACTTGCCAGTTTTATCTGGAGGAGCAGAAAGTAAGTGTACAAAACCAGAGAGCACAGCAAAACTTGTGAGTAAAGGATGTGCAACTTTCTAATTAGACCATGTCAGCATCCTGAATGGGTAGTACTTGATTTTTCAGTAACTTTTTTGATGTCCTCACTATGTACCATAGTAAGATACAGTGCAGAAGCTCTTGGGCACTTTTAGATCCACTGATAAATATATATGTATATAAATACAAATAGGTCTTTTGCATGAAAATACTTGGGATTCTTGTTGAAAAGATATCCTTCCTTTACATTTAACTGAAATAAATGCACTCTGTAAATGCACTCTAAAGAATGAAGGATGGAGTCTTGTTAGGGAAATTTGGAGTAAGCATCCGTAAGCATGAAGGAATTGAACACAAGACGCAGCATGTGAAGCACCTATAGACCTTTATCTGAATTATAGGTACTGAGGTAAACAACAAATTACAATAACTGCATGTAGCTGTGTAAAGAGCTGGTCTTACGTTCCTTGGAGGAAAACACAAGATTAAACTTTTCAAGAATATATCCTGAGCAAGGCCCAAAGAGAGCCCTGAACTTGGTCCTACAGACAAAAAAGTACACTTAACTGTGGTAGCGCTGTTTCAGACGATGGGGGAGGCAATGTACTTTTTGTTAAAAGAACCAACCATCCCGAGACACGCTGTTTTGCAGTGGGGAAGGCCAATGAGAAGGACCTGTGCAGTGGGAAGCCAGCAGATAGCATGGTCGCCCTGCCCAATGGAACCCTGGCCGTCTTCAGAGGTACGCAGGCCCCATGCCCTCCATTGGCCTCACTGTTGCCTGAGGGGCAGGAGGTGCAGGAGACATCTTCCCCTCCTTCCTTCCCCTCCCAAGCTTTTTTCCCTGCTTTTTTCGCTATCTGGCCATGTGCTTCATGGTGCAGGCCATGATTCCTCCCCCCTGCAGGTCACTACTACTGGCTGCTGAATGGCAGGACACCACCAACAACCAGTCCCCAGAGGATCAGTGTAGGCTGGGGCATCCCGTCCCCCATTGATGCTGTCTTCTCCAGATGCAACTGTGATGGCAAGACCTTCTTCATCAAGGTGGGAAAAGTAGGGAGGCTTTGAAGCACAGACCTGACACATAATGTGGCTGTTCAGTGCAACCTTGTGCTCCAAGGCCACGTTGCTCATTTTGTAGAACATTCAGCATTTTCACATGTGAAATTAAGTGAAGTGAAACTTTTCCCATGTTCCATCGCCCCTGCCTTGGCACTGTGCTTCTCAGAATGCCAAATTCCATGCTTACTGATCAACTATCTACTCCAACACTCCCCTATCTGCCCCTCTCTCCCCCCCCCCCCGCCCCAAACCTTTAAAATGCAGTTATTCCATTGAATCTTTCCTTTGCCCAAAGATGACCAGGTTTGCTCCCAATACTTTCCCCATCCATAAGGAATGATAGATGCATGTCTAATTAAGAATGTTATACAGTTAGAAAGCAAGTTGTTCTGCTTAGCAATCGTTTCAGATAATTTCTGAAACACTCTCCTCCTGCTTAAAGGCACTGCTAAATTAGCATTGTAGTTGTTTGTTTTTAGCAGCCCCTAAATACAAGGACAACAAGGTGGTTCTCAAAATGCTTGCATTTACTGCAATTACTTTTGACTGGAGCCCAGTTACCAATAATGAATTTCCTCTCAAGTTCATATTTTGCTTAAATCACTAGGGTCCTCTATACTGGCGTTTCACTAATGGTGTAATGGATAAAGGCTATCCCAAACCTCTCACAAATGGATTTGCAGGGCTAAGTGGGAAAATAAGGGCAGCCCTCCCAGTGGCAAGTTACAATGGCAGACCAGAATCTGTTTATTTTATCAAAAGAGGTAAGTCTCATATTTCAGATGTTCACAAATGATCAAAATATACTTGAAGTGCATTAGTGAGGAATACAACAGTTACTCACTGATAGGCATATCTCTTTCAAAAACAGACATCTAAGTGAATATCAGAGTACACTTGCTAGTCAAAACACAGCCTGAGGCTTTAAACATCTCTAAGTTCTACAAATTTTTAAGTGCTTTTCAAAATATATCAGATTGCATGAGATTACATCTCAGAAGACAAATGTAAAGATAAGTTTTATCTGATAGGAAAAAAAAATCAGTCTTAAATTAATCAAAGGAAAGGCTTAAATAACCTTTTTAGTTCAGAACTAAAGCATGGAAATTTACCTCTGTTCTTTCATTCTTAACTATTTATCCTGTTTCAAATGAGCATAGTTTCCTTACTGTGTATGTACGATGTATGGCAACAGAAGAACTGTTTTGGGAACAAAAGAAAGCTTAGGATAATTAAATACAAGTCCTTTTCTGGACTCTAGCCTTCCCATTACCTACCCCAAAGAGATGGTCTCACGCTGGTCTTGATAAACAGGTACGATGGCAATCAAAGTAGTTCCCTTGGAACTGTACTTACTACAGTAATGTTAATGAAGCTGTTGGAGTTATTACTACATCTAGAAGTGTATGATGGATTTAGAGAGCAAGGCTTTTACATTAGATTGTAGGAACGAATATAAAAAGCTGCAAGTTGCAACATCATTAGACAGCTGTAGGAGTATCAAAGTGGTACTGTTTTCCTACCCACTACAAAAATACTACCCAACATCACCATCGTTATCAAGCTGGCTTTTTTTTTTTTCTTCTTTTTTTAAACATATTAAACCAATGTCTGTTTTAGATGGCAACATGCAACAGTACGTATACAGGCAAGAACCAGCCAGGAAGTGCCAACGGAAAGCACGCATTACTATAAGATACCCAGCTTTTGTCCCAAGACTTGTAATAAGGAGACGCTTTCAACGTGCAGTAGGAATGCCAACAGTTATTCAGACTGTCAGAATCAATCCATACCAATCTGGTAACTGATGTTTATTCTTTTTTTTTTTTTTTTAAAAATACAACCATTGTAATCTTTGTAGCTTCTGAAATGTAACATTGTTCCATTTTTTTCCTAATATAATACTTCAGTTTTTTCTCAATCTAGTAATTGTTGTTTGATCTAGATAATACAAGTAGATGATAGCTTTTGGCAGACACACTGTGACACTTCCTAACTTTTCTTTTGCTTGCAGGAGTTTTGCGCAAGGAAATTAAAGTGACTGCCTACTGGAGAGGGCTCCCCAAAGTAGTTCATTCAACGATCTCAGTACCCAACTACAATAAACCAGATGGCTACGATTATTATGCCTTCTCTTACAGTAAGTTAAAGCTAACACAAGTTACTCTATTTAAAAAGAGTAAGGAGCGAATGAGTAGGCAAGAAAGAAACCTCTGAGCTCTCTAAAGCACAGTTACAACTTGTGATTCTGCATCACTAATTTTGAGCAAGCACTACTGAAAAGCCCTGAGAAATAAAATGTTGCCTGTCACTGAGAGATATTTCTATTCAAAAATCAAGTTACAGAACTATGAGCAATGAGGTACAATAATTCAAACTGTACAGTTGTGGAGGAATGCATTGTCCTAGTATTTATAAAAAGAGAAAATCTTGTCACTTAAATGAGCAATTATGTATCAAAATCCTTGGACCATTACACATTGATAGATTTTTCACTGGCAACATGAACCATTTGATTTCCCAGGAAATAATACTTCTAGTTCCAGTTTAAGAAGATCTTTCTCCTTCAGCCAGGATCAGATAAAAACATTTCTTGAAATTTTCTTGGTTAACCAGTGGAAAAAAAAATTTAGAAGTATTAGACACATATCCAAATACAGGAGGATACTAAAATAAGTTCCTGCCAAAATAATTTGATAACTTTTACGTAATTACACTCAGAGACCACAGAAGTTCCCACTTTCACAACTGGTGCAGGACTGTTTTGTTTCTAGTTTGTTTGGTTTCTCAATTCTTAAAAATATTTCTGTGTTCTAGCAGTGCTGGCGTCTCCTGTATTCCTTATTCTTGCGACAGACTTAATTATTAGTGGTATTGTGGAAATTAAATTTAGCTAAACAATGATCTGCATGTCAAAAAAGTTGAGGATAAAAATGGATTTTTACAGCTTTTCAAATCCTTGTATAGATATGGAATGAAAATCTACTATTCATGCTTAACAAAATTAAAAGGCAGGCTTTAATTTCAAGATTCTTTCTGTAGCTTATGAAATTTAATTCTAATGTCTATTCATTTCAGATCGGTACTACAGTCTGGATGTGGGCAAAAGAATAGCAAGACCTGTAACTGCTCTCACAGGAAAGACTGTATCTAAAGACTGGTACAACTGTCCTGAAAAGTGATGCAGAGCAGAGGATTTTTTAGAAAAGATACCATTTGAATTTTGACAGTTTGTCTAGTTTTATTAATAAAGACATTGAAATGTGTGCACACAAATCTAAGTATAAAATGCTGCTTTATGCATTCATTACACTAAACCAACCACAGGCAAAAACTGGCACATTTGTATACATAGCTGTAATTACAGATCATTTAACTAATATTGCCTCTGTTCAGGCCTCCTCTGCCTCCCATTGCATGAGTTACACCTGTGTTGGGAAAGAAAAAATGCATTAACAGAAATCCTTTTCAGCCATTTAATCAAACACTGATGCATATGACGTTTCATCCTCCCATAAACAACTGCTATGGCAATGAGACACTTCCCTTCTGGAAAAACTCCATCTCCCTCTTTTTCCCCAAAGTCTGCTGCTATGGCTACATTATACTTCTGTCATTAAGAGAATGTTGTTGACTTACGGTCTATCTCAGGCTGTTTGGCAAAAGAACAAATATGGCATTCTTGCCATATTTGGTATCAGTTTCCTGATAATTAAATTAAAAATTTAATTCAGGGATGTGGTATTACTGTCTTACAAGCAAACATATGCATAGAAAGTAGGACATATGCAGTCCCCAAAGGGACAAAGTATTAAAGACTAGTCAGAGAGGGTAAAAAGCCCTGAACACTTACCCCTCTGTCTGTTGAACTGACGACCACGAACACCAGTTCTTAAAGTTGGTGGCTGAAGCCTTACACGTCGAAACAGCTTAAGCTGATTACTGCTGGTGTCTGTGAAAAAGTGGAAGTACAGGGAAGAACATCTATGTTTAGTACAGTTTTGCACCATTAGCATTTACATGATTTGATATACATTATGCTCTTGAACTTGCCTTAAATTATGAAGGTACATCCTATTTAATTGACATAATCTCTGATACAAATAAAAGCCTCAGAACATGTAAGTTTGGTATTTTGTTCATTGTCTATGCTATCTGGTAACATGGTAACAGAACAGTGATAAACATAATTCTCTGACAATTTAATTGAATGAAAACTATTTTAAATCTGACATAATTATCATTGGATGGAATCATCTATGTATCAGGAACTTGCTCTTTGAAGAATACTTACCATGGACACATTAATTACTCTGGTCCAAGTAAAAATGATTTGCCATTAGGACTAAAAACATACAAGCATGTTCTTATTTTATGTAAGACTTGCTGCCCTATTTTCTATATCTTAGTCATTAACAGCCCATGATCCTACTCCAAGAAGTCCTCACACTTAATAGAATTGTGCAAAGCAACTTAGTTTCTAGTAATTAACCAGTACCTGCAGAGGAACTAGATGGAGGATCTTGACTTGTAGAAGGAAGATCTGACTCATCAGATGCTTGAACAGATTCCTCTTCTTGCTGACTATCAATTTCTAGGCCAGCTTCTGAAGTAATTCTAAAAGAGAAAGGGAGGGGGACAAGGGATGAGAAGAGATACAAATGTACTCAGTGTCAAACAACTCAGCAAAAAAAAAAAAAAAAAAAAAAAAAAAAAAAAAAAGTCCTCATCACAAAGCAGAAAGATTTCTATCCAAACATCTATTCCCAGAAATTTTCTTCTGTGCTCTCTTTGCCTAACTATAAGAGATTCATATGGCTTTAAAGTAAGTAAATAAATAAATATTTTCTTTGATATGTAGCTCAACATACAATGTACACATAACATTAATTACCTCCCAGAGAAGGTCTCAATTTTGTTAAAATGCAGCTTGCCACGTGGTTTACATTTACTTCAGTTATAAAAAAAAAAAAAAAAAAAAAAAGTTACAAGACAAGTAAAACTCCTAAGACATGAGAAATACTTGTTGATCTGTTCTCCTGTCAAGCTAAAGGCCTATTCCTAAGTACAGACATAGTTCTACGAACCATTTTATTTCTCTGGATGTAATTCAGTAAGAATTAGGTATTTGGTAGGAAACAATTCATGACTGTAACATCCAAAAACCCATCTTGAGTAACAATTGCTACTTAAAAGCACAATATAGACAGACTGTATAAACCAATCTGGTGCTGCATCAAGAAACCTGTATGGCACATCTAATCTGCAGCAGTAACATTCCATCTGCTTATGATGAAACCAATAATTAGTAGATGCAAGTTTTGAAAAACTGTGCATTACAGTATCTTTTATCACTTTGCAACCAATAAAAATCAAAATGTATGATAAAAATATAACTTCCTCCCTTCTAGATTCATAATTTGTTTGTTCACAATACAGAATACAGGAATCATTGTAAGAATAATGAAAAAAAAAGCAATAGCAAGGAAGGAGGTAAATTATTTGTCTATCAAGTTCTTTAAAAAGTTACTAATTTTCTGCCCTTCTGGACTGGTTTAACAAAATGACTGTACAAGTGATTTTCTTTGCTGACCAACAGAAATGCTTTATTTTTATTCTACAAACCCCAGTCACTCAATCTGGGGCCTCTACCATCTCTATTTGACTGCCATAGGACCCCTTACATTATGAACATTTACAGAAATGTCTTATTTTTTTTAAGGTGACATGTATTAGCAATGTTAAACTACCAGAAGAAAAGCTTTGCTTCTACACGAAAAGGTCAAATAACATTACTTCGCAAAATTACCAAAGCTTGCTTGAGCATCCTTCCTACCAGAACAGGTTAAATCAAAACTTAGTGGATTGCAGGGCATATTTGAATGAAACATCATTACAAAAACTAAGGTGACTTCAAGTCAAACAATCACAGCTTACCCTTCAGATTCTGCCTCCGCAAAAACTTCATCCCCATCATCACCTGCTCCAGCCTCTGTAGTTGTGGACAGGTTGCCAGTAGATGTGGTAACCATCGGAACAGACTGAGAAGCATGCTCTGAAGCGTCAGCTGATGTACTTTCAGTAAAAACTGTAACTGTACAGAAAGGCAAGCATGGAGTTAACTTGAATTTCCTAAATAAAATTTATGGAAATCTTAAGCACGAGGAAAAGCTACTGGAATATTCCTGACTGTGTAACCTTTTCTGGAAAGTCAAAGTTTCAAACTTTTACCTGTGAATTTCCTGCTGCTTACCTGGTGCTGCTATTTGTAAAGGTGTTGTTGGAACACTACGACCGCCTGATTCTTCCTCATGAGCAAGGAAGAGCGGAGTTTCATACATTCCCAAACCTGCAACACACAATGTTGCAGTGACATTAAAAACAGACAAAAAAAACCCGACACATTAGCTGCTGTCTTCTCTCTACACACTTGATGAAATCCAATTATACATATTTAAATATGGAGATGCGTTATTGCAAGTGGCTTTGACTTATTGCCGTAGCTAGTTAGAATTTCTTAAAAGGTACCAACTTGATAAAAATACTACCACTCACTTTACTTTAGCCATTTCTTCTACGTTATTATTTTGCACTGACCTTTCTTCAAAGCACAGCACACTGTTCCATGCTAACAAGGACGCAAGAAAAAGGTACCAAGTCAGAACAACAGTGAAGACAATATAGACAGATTGTCTGGTCTTCTCTTAGCAAGTAAGGATATACCCTGAAAATTTATTTTTAATTGCTGTTTTCTTCTATTAATTATATCCATCTGAACAAAACATCCAGCATACAGCTAGTACATAAGTACATAAAATGACAGGTGAACAACCGGGTGATGGATTTGGATCAAAGGGTTATAGCAGATGGAACTCCATCAGGCTGATGGCTGGTCACTAGTAGGATGTACTCCACTTTAGGGAAATGCCCTTTAATGTTTTCATACACGATCTAGATGCAGGACTAGATGCATATTAAGTAAGTTCACATATTATATTAACTTAAGAGGATGTGTTGACTCCTTTGAGGGTAGACTGAAGAGAGATTTTGACAAACTGGAAGGCAATCACCAACTGCATGGAGTTTAACAAACGTGTGCAGGATGGGACAACCTTGGCTGTATGTACAAACAGAGGAACAAGAAGCTGGTGAGCAGCCCCTTGGAAAGGGACCTGGGGGTTATGGCTGGCAGCAAGCTGAATCTGAGCCAGCAGTGTGCACTGGGTGCATAAGGCCCAGCACTGCCAGCTGGGTGAGGGAAGGGACCACCCTGCTCTGCCTGGCACTGCCTTACCTCAAGCACTGTGTGTGGGTTTGAGTGCTACAAAGTAAGGACATAAAACTACCAGAGGACATCCAAAGGAGGGTCAGGGAGATGGGAATGAGTCTTGGGAGCAAGATGTGTGGAGGAGCTGAGGTCCGTAGGTTTGTTCAACCTAGGATGTTAAGAAGAGCCTTCACGGCAGCCTGCAGCTCCGTCGGATCCCTGCTCTCTCATGACAGCAAGAGAACCTAAGGGAACAGCATGTAGATATGCCAGAGGAGCATCAGGCTGTACATTAGGAAAAGACCCTGCACTAGAGGGCAGCAGGCACGGTCTCAAGCTGCCAGAGCTCAAGGAGCATTCGGACACTGCTCTTACACATACAGTTTGCATTTGGTGTAGAGTACAACTTTCAGCTCTGCACACAACCACACAAATTCACTATAGAAAAGCTATTATCAACAGGAAAACTAGAAGAAAAAAAAAAAAAAGGCACTCCTTCAGTATTTCAATCCTCCTTAAATTAAGCTTCATTCACCCAGCAGTCAATCTATCCTGCATAAAACTGCAGCTATGTTTCTTCACTTCAGAAGCTGTCTTTCTCACCCACAAAAGCTTTGTACTTTTAAAATCATATTAAAAATAGAAATATAGCACCTTGAAGGAAACACTTTCCCATTTTCCACTAGTCTCTGTCTGCTAACAGAGAAGCTGCAAGCACACAAAGCAGAACTGCCTTTCTATGGAGGAATTATTATTATTTCTATACTCAAACAACCATGGAAAAGTAGACAGAAGTATAGAAATGACTTACCTCCTTGTGAGGCAAGCTGACCGAGGTCAGAGTGACTTGAACTGGTTTGTGGCATATCTTCAGGGGGTCCAAATCGGAATCGAGGAACTCCAGCTACCTGAGGG